AGACTCTGATTGTTTTATGTAGTAGTTGCAGACCAGAGAGAGGTATTCTGATTGGTTCCAGATCTCTTTATTTCAATACGCAAGGCTGTGCCAGTTTTTTTGTCGCTTCAGTGTATACGTCTCTGTATTTAGAAAATGAGACTTTCTTAATAATTGAGGCAAGAGTTTCCTTAGGCAGATCAGAGCATTATCATTAAATTTTTTTGTCAAAACGCCTGTCTGTGACTGCATTTACAATAATTCTTATAAACTTCATTCTCAAGTTTTAAAGTTTCCTTCCTAGGCTACGCGATCTGTTCATAATATCCAATAAAGAAACTACTCAACACTGGGCCTTTATGTCCTATTATACAATTGTACTTTCCGTTAATACTTTGTTTTCCGTTAAACTCACCATACAAGTTGCTGTTTTGTTCACAATAGCTACTAGAAGTAGTTTGCTTGCCCTTGTCCGAGTGGGAGCAGAGAACTTTACAATCACAGATATAACAGCAGCGTGTTGAAGTCGTATTTTATTCTAAAGATATTATAAAGATTAGAGAAGTGACAAAAATTCATAAAAATAGATTAACTTCGTTGATTCAATAACGGCAACTTTTGCGAATTTTGCCGATTTTTGGTGCGTTGCGAATGTTGGCGAAAATATACACTACACGCGCACACACTAATATATAATATTTTGTGCATTTATATGCTCGCATCATCGAATGTAACCGTGGACGCTCTGCGCAAGCCTAGTTGATCAACGAAGGACATACGGCGGAGTATTTCGGAGGAATCTAGCACAAGTCGAATGTAAGTGCCGAGAAGGATTTTGAGGGTAGCGAGAAGAGATTCGCAGTTCAGTTTAGGGACGGATGGATGTCGCTTGAGTTGAGAGGCGGAATGTGGGATGCATGGTGAAAAGTTGACTGGAGCAATTAGCAATATATCGTTGTTCAAAAAAACAAATGAAATATAAACGCCCTAATGCTGGAGACAGTAAAACATTAAGGTATGTGCGACGTCAATTAATCTGTGTATAATTTCGCACCCGATTCTCGTAAGCACGTGTGAGGTTACTCGTTGAGATAATTACTTTGCTAATGGAGAGAGATTAGATGTTGGAACTTGTCACCAGCTATAAATACATCATGATCCAGACAAAATTAAGCTGTCTTACTGTATAGTGAAATTAAGTTGCCAGAACAACTTCATGAGAACATTAGGTATTGAAAATTGTGGTAATTTCAATATCAAATTATACGCTGATGCAAGATGACACTTTATCATGAAAATGTAGGGTATTCTCGTGCTTTGGATTGTTGTTGTAAAATATTGTGTGGAATCTGAGAAAATTTTATTAATAGCATGTATCTAGAGTTGAGGTTTTCACATTCTTGTTTGCAATGATGTACATAAGCACAGCTATCATGCATATGATGTCAATTGTTTCGTGTTTGGGTGTAAAGGGTGCCAAGTGGTAGTTAATATTTTATTGTTATGGGGTTTTGAATAAGTTATGTTAGTATTTTTGAAACGTTTCCTGTGTATAAATATTATTTCTGAGATATGTCATTGATATGCAGCTGTAAAGATTTTGTTACAACGTTGCATATTGGATGGTAGGAATGTCAATCAACTTTGGAAAAGTAAAACATTTGGGAATCTTATGTCAATGCATGATTGCTAGCACTAACTGCTCATCAGTTTAATGCTGACTTTATAAGATGTTAGTAATTTTGATGTTTGATGCATATAAATATTCTTTCTGAGAGGTGTTATAGATATGCAGTAAAAATATTTTATTGCTATATTGCATATTGAATGGTTGATATTTTAATAAACTCTGGAAATGTAAACCTTTTGGGAAGTATTTGTAAATGCATTATTTGCTAGCTTTAACTGCATACCAGGTTAATGATGACTACGTAAGGTGTTAATAATTTTGATGTATTTCTTGTATGTAAATATTATTTCTGAGAGATCATTGATGTGCAATTGAAAGAATTTTGTTGCTCCATTACATATTGGATGGTTGAAATTTCTATCCACTTAGGAAGGTAAACTATTTGGGAATTGTTTGTGACTGCATAATGTGTTAGCATTAACTGCGGATCAGTTTAATGATCACTGCATAATCTGTTAGTGGTTTTGAAAAGTTTCCTGTGTATAGATTTATTTATGGGAGAGGTCATTTATGTGCAGTTATAAGTGTTTTGTTACTACATGGCATATTGAATGGTTGGAATTTCAATTCACTTTGGAAAGGCATAACATTTGAAGCTGTTTGTATAATTTTGATGGGTTCATGTGGCAGTGAATGGAAATATTAATTGGTTGATTAAAATTTCAGTTATGACATACTGTGTTGTCCTTCGTTCATGCAAGACATATTCCATTCCTTCTCTTCTCGTTAGGGAAAAGACAAAAAATTGCATCTTTAGTAACGGCCTGTCGTATGAATTGTCGTGCAGTGTAAAGACCTCAATACGGACAGGTACGTCAATATTGGGGGTCAACGTACTAATATATAGTGAGATTGGAAGTTTGTTATCTATATTTGAAACAATTCGACGAAATAAGATGATTTCAAAGCTCTGTTTTATGCTGAACTGGCAATACACAAGCTCAGTTTGAAATACGTGTTTAATTTTTCGTGTTTCCTTATAAAATGTGCTATTATCATAAATATTCATTTGTAATTTTTTTCAATTATTGAAAAGTCAATCAGATGTTTACATACCCCTTCAAAAATCAAAACACTTTATATTTGTAACGAACTACACTGTAGATTTGGCTTTCCATGAGGTTATCTTTTGAGTGATAGTTAATCCTGAAGAAAAAGGTGGTTTGATCCAGAAACTAATTCCAGGTTACATTATAATTGGCTGACACTGCGACTAGAGTTGAGAAATGTATAGTCTAGCAGTAGTCATCTAAGTTTCAAACCTGGTTTAACGAATAATTTCTTTAAGAATACTTGAAAATGTATAAAAAGAATTTGCTAATATTAGAGAGTTGAATACTTACTGACATCTTAAAGTATACGTTCATGTAGCATTCCCCTGACAAAAACTCTGTGAATTCAAATGTACAAATCGTGGACCCTCTTGCCAGAATCTGTCATTTGGCACACCATCTTACGAAAATTAACTCTCCAAGTGTTCCCTAGGACGGTCTGTGATAATAAAAACCTTCATTTCGCTAACCTCCCTCGACCTCTTCGAAGTCCCGCTAGGCTGGCTTTCAGCCAACATTATCTGCCGCGAACGGCTGCGAAACAGTGTACCCGGTATCTTTTGAGGACGAAATAATTCCGTAGTGCATTGTGTGTAAGGAAAGGGAAACTTGTAGGTTACTTTTTGACATCATAATGGCCCTTGTATATCCTTTCAGCTCCAAAAGAGGTACTTTGATCATTGATGGAACATTGAGATCACGTTTTCGTTTCGTGTGTGGTAACTACGAGATGAATATGCAATATAAATTGAATATGAACTGGATATTTTTGAATTTGGAGATCTTGTTAATACGCTAATGGATGTTTGCTATGTATAGTGGCAATAAGATGAGTGGAAACAGCAGACTGGTCATAAAAGTAGTCGCACAAAAATGAATTCAGTAATTTGACTGCGGGTTACGGATATAATTATGAAAATTGAAGTTCTACAGCCATACAATGTCAGATAACACAACTTACCCCATGTTCACTGCTTACTATTTAGAATATATTCTTTACTTAGAATGTATACATTTTGGGGAAAGGTGAGAATGATTGGAATCACATGCAATTCGAATAGCCTCAAATTGAGGTATTCTATGGATCTTCTCAATGGAGACTTTTTGTACTAAAATCGTCTTCGATGTTACGAAATGCCAAATACATTAGGAAGTTCGCAAATATATATATATATATATATATATATATATATATATATATATATATATATATATATATATATATATATATATATATATATATATATTTGTCAGTATTGTCATCACTCCAAAGGCTGGTTGTGCCATTAAAGATGTTTTAGAGAATAGTTCTAATCAGGACTTCTAGGCAACTGGTGGAAGAGAGGTATTTAGGTATTTTGCAGTTGCTTTCTCTCTACATAAAAAATTAAGTTAGCTAATTTCAGTAGCTGTATTCAATTATCTCAGTATTACCAATTGTTAAGATTGAACAGCTTTGGTTCAATTTACTTATTTCTCCTTTTATATAAACATTACCTTTGCTTATTGCAAGGTTTGTCTAGGAATGAGTTTCTTATCCAGTTGCGTATTGCTTGAATTTAGTCAAGACTGACACTGTTCACTACGAAAAAATCCTAAATACTCTTCCAGGGAAGACTGAAGTGTATCACAAGGTTGGCTACCAGCCAACGTACCTACGATCGCCAGGGAACAGGTCTTCTAAAGTCTTCACAGTGCGAGAATAACAGTGTATCGCGGTTATGGCTTGCGAAAAGACGTGTGAAAAAACGTCCCCGTTGCTGTTGCAGCAAAACATTCTGGTTGCAGAGGAGCAAAAGCATTGCTCCGTGCTCTAGAGCAAAAGACAATATTAAATCCCACTTATACCTAAAAGTTGAGTGGAGTGTAGTGAAGTGGAGTGACAGTATGAAGTAGGTAATTTTATATTTTTTGATATTTGTCTGTATGTGTTTTTCTTTTATTTGTTTTTATTGTATTTTTCGTTTTCTTAAATATATGTATTATTGTTTATTTTAATTTTTATATACCACAGAGGGTACATTCATTTGCATAAATAATAACAATAATAATAATAATAATTATTATTACTATTAAAATCGAAGAATATAATTGTCATTTTGTATTAATTGTTTGATCATTTGTGTACGTTTGTAAGATATCACAATTCATTTTCATTTGTAATCTAGGTATAACTAATATTATTACAGAGTAGGAAATTTGTGAAATTGCTTGTATTGTGTGATAGTTTAAAGATGAAACCCATTTGTCAATAAATATATTTATTAAAGAAATACATAGCAAGAATTTCATTTTATTCTTATTTTCCAGTAAAAATTACGCCTGTTAAAATATTAAGCCATAGCTGTGCCTCAGCTGGAAAGGAAAATATTAGACACGTGGATGTTTTATTATATAAATGAAGTTCAGTTAAAATTATATGCACTTTTAATTGTCTGTTTGGTAACTTCCAAGTCTTTTATGGCGCAGAACACTCTTTTACGTGTATTCTTGTGACGAGCATTTGTTAATTATTTACTTGGAGAATCCTTGTTTTGTTTAGAACGACTGAATAATTGTAACGTCACAAAATTATCTTTTCGTTTCTTGCACTTAACTATAATTCAACAAAACTCACACACACGTCACTATTGTAAATCTTCACTTGGTTTAATAAAACCGATGGAAGAAGTCCAAAGTATAAAAAACGTTCTTTTGAAGCTTGGAGGTAGACAAAAATCACCAATCTCCATGGGTTATGCGGTGACCGTATTTGAATGCAGTTTCCGAATGAAACCTCCGTATAATTGTGATGTAAAGTTGATTGATGGTTGAACACATTCTTGTGGGAATCTTGTTTGCATCAATTCAGTCGAACGGACAATCTTTTCCACTTGTGATAGTGACGCAGTATGTTCCCGATGCACTGTAAAAACAAAATATAGAACATTAATTACAGAAAATCCTAGAAATGTAGACAATCATGTATCTTATGCGCTTTTGCGTGGAACAGCCTAAGATCACTGGAAATCAACATAGGCATCTTTTCGCAAATGACAAGATAGACCTGCATCTTCGACATGATTTTTAGGAATGAAATCAGATCTGAAGTATAAATCAGTACATTTGACTGAGAATTGAACAAAACAAATAAAACAAAACAAAAAACGTGTTTCTCACACGTGAAATGCATTTGTAAATTCGCACGTAATTAAGATACATGTATTATGTATTATGTGTATTATGTATGGATGGTTATGCTATCTGCCTGTGAAGAGCTGGTAGGTGCAGGAGGAAAAAGTAACTAACTCACCCGTATTTCACGGACTAGCACTCGCGGCAGTCAAAGCCGCCGCATGAGCATAAGGCGTCACAGAAATATGCAGTGCCTCACACAGCACTAAACATAAGGCTACACAGTAGCTATTTGAATTACGGCTGTCAAACTGTTCTATATACTGATGACATGAATTTAGTTAGATATAATTTGTACAGTGTGATGATTCCCTATTCAATTTACACACATAACAATTTTGTTATAGGCAGTGTAGAAGTGAGGTTTCAGAGTTAAAAAAAAGGCCTGGGCAGAAATGGATGAGATATTTTCTAGTGCCTCATAAGGATCTCTCTCCCTAAGTATCTGTGAAAGTGTCAAAGGATCAAAAGGCGCGATTACCAGAAATGCAATGAAATAGGCCCTACATATTTTTACATCTTCAGAAAAATGTAAAGGATAGCCATAGACCATTAATTTTGACGAAACAAACTTTATTGCCGGTCCAGGGAGCTTTAACATTATAGCGAGGGGGGGGGGGTAAATCATTTAGAACATACAGGATGTTTGGAGAGCAAACATCGAAACTCCGAAAATAAGCTCGTAAGAAAACATTAAGCATATTTTGTCAAATAAATCCCCTGGGTATCCGTAATGGCTGAGACGCAATAAGCACTCAAAAGTTTGTATGAAAATACACGAGTACTTTCTATGCAAAAACTTGCATTGCTGAAACATATAAAGACTTCAGGAACAAATAAATTATTATTTACAAAACAAATTAATATATTTGTTTAGAAAGAAAAATTAACACAAAAACCCACAAAATTTACAGAATTAAAGAAAGAAAATCGACAGCTTTTTTGTGTTAATGTTTCTTTCTCGACGAATATATTAATTATTTTGTAAATATTCCGATTTTACCGCAACTGGTGGGTACTTACGAGAAAAAAGCCTTTCTTGTGGTATCCGTCACAAAAGAGACACAAATATTTGTTTCAAGTATATGAATCTATTTGTCTGTGGGGAGCTCCGAGGATTATTAATTTTGATACAGGATTTAAATTTGCAGATTCTAACAGATTATCATTTTTATAAATAATAATAATAATAATAATAATAATAATAATAATTAATAATAATAATAATAATAATTAATAATAAAGGGTTGTAAATTTTGATATGTAAGAGTCAAAAAGCTTCCCTCAAAGACACAAATAGAGGAACTTTTGGAAGCCTACTGGTCATTCTGGCTGTGTCCCACAACCCAGAATATGACGTTGGATTGAAATGGAAAATATGACAGATCACCAAGGATATCCCTACTTAATGTGTGAACCAATTCAGTCACCGTGGAAAATTGTCCAAGCAAGCTTTGAGCAAAGCACATTGAACTGGGGAAGGGCAACCAGGCAGTGATGGCCTCCACAATTATTGGCTCAAAATTTACCAGCACTCACCATCATATAGCTAATATAATTCTAAATTTCTTCACAATTCCAGGAAAATCTACCTCACTTCCTCACTGAAGTTAGAACATTTTTGATACCAAAGGAGGGTGAGACTTAAAGACCCCTCGAAGTACAGGCCTATAAACCTGCCTTTCAAACTTCGACAAACTCATAACATCTGTGTTTCGCCAATGATTTGATGACACACATTGAGGAAAGAACATCTTAGCAATATGAACAGAAAGGATGTAGAACCTGGATCTTCAGGGATGCAAGGAGCAACTCATTATAGACTTCTGTAATTATGGGGCAAGTGCTTGAAAAACAAAGAACTTGTACGCATGCTACATAGCATTTACGCTAAAGCCATTCGACACCGTGCCCCCTTTCTTTGGCTCCTTCAATGTTTGATGTATACAAGTCCACCCGTTTATCCAAAAACTTCCTGAAAACTTGCGCACTGAGTCGATGGAATACAAAACTTGTATCCTCTCCTAATGGAAAACAATCTGTCACACAGATACTATACACATCCGCGAGGGATTTTCCAGGCGTGGGGACTCTTTAGCCCTTTATTGTTCTGTTTAGCTTGAATCCCCTCTCTACTCTACTTAAGTTCATCTAATTATGGAAGCCTTCTTAAAAAGGGGGGAACTCAACTCTTCTTCGTGTCTCACATCTCCTTTACATGATGACCTTTGAAAGCTCTATTGCAGACACTGAGAGCCATATGCGGCAACTATAAACGTGACGGAGATGTTCACTGACGACATTTAAGATGAAATTTCGGTGTGGATAAGTGCAGGAGAGTGAATATCTTCGGGGTCATATGCAAGTTATAAATTTGAAACTGATAGATGAACCAAAGATTACCTTCATGGAACCCTATTGAAACTTAACAAATACTTGGGTTGTCCAACGTCACTCCGGAATCAAAAACACACTTTACTAAGAAGTATACTAACAAATGAAGGTGTGTAAACATGCATTGGGCTCTTAAAAACTCAACTCTCTGCTAGAAACCTTGTGCAGGCCATCAATTCATTTTGTTATTCCAGTGCGTACATACTCTTTGGGCGTTATTAAAATGGAAGCAATGACCGACCCTCGACAACCTCCAGAGAACAATTCGAAACCGCTATTACTCAACACCAAAACCATTTCATCCTCATTCAAGTAGCTGAGCGTTTTACCCTTCCAAGTCGCAAGGAGGGGCGAGTATTGTTAGATCTCATAAAATCTACACAGCTCTCAAATTGCTTCACTCAGAAGATACTTCTTGAACATGTGGGAGAGTTCTGCAAGCCAGTGAGCGCAGTTGATAATAACTATTAGTGCCTCTGAACTTGAAAAAAGCTGGATCCGCCTGTTCACCAATCATTGAAAACGGAAGAGGAAGATAACCTTATGGAAAGCAAGGCACTGCATGAGGTACCCTCACGAGCTGAGTAAACCAGAAAGTCGAACATCTCTGCGTCGCACGCATGGGCTCCGAAGCACGGGGATCTCTTTCCGGAGGACAGAAGCTTCATGATAGCTATCCAGGACCAAGTGGGACCAACATTGAACTACTGAAAACACATTCTGAGAGATTCTCCATTCATCCGGACTCGTGTAAGAAGATGGTGAGGCGCTGCAAGCGAAAAACTATCCAACACGTGACAAGGGATGTAGCAGCCCACGCACAGGTGGAATACAAAAAAGAGGCATGATGAAAGTGGGCGAAGCAGGTTTACACCAATCATTGCGTGAGAACCGGGCTTACTCGCCACTTCCGTGCCGTATTATAAATATGTGCCTCAGAGAATGGTGCTTGAAAAGTAGTGGCAACACACTCTACTGGGATCGTTCATTATCACTGACAGACATGTCGGCGGCAATTAGACCAGATATAAACGATATTGATAGACCAACAGCCAGGTTTTCCTTATCGATATATCAATTACCCAATACCCACACATATCGGGAAAATATCAGGAGCAAGATCCAGAAGGTATACCCAATCTCGCCTATGAGGTCGCAACTCAGTGGAAACTTCAGTGAAGTGACGACGGTGCCTATAATAATATTCAGCTACGGGATGATCACGAAAATGGACACTTCGGGCACTGGAGTGTCTTCACTTGGAGACCAGGAATGATTATAATATTTGCAAAAAGACAGTAATTTTGAAATCAGTGCCTATTGTCAGAAGCCATCTGAACCTTCAGTAAAGCAACCACACACCTGGTCATCATAACCTGTGTGTGGTTGACATACCGACCCAGTAGATACTGTGAATAATGGTAGACAATTAATAATAATAATAATAATAATAATAATAATAATAATAATAATAATAATAATCAACTGCAAGGATTATACTTGTTCAGTCTACTCCGGCTCCTGAAAACTGCTCACTCCATCTGCTCCAGTGGTCTTCCCACACTTCTTTTCCCTTTCGGCTTGTAGTTGATGGCAACTTTCACTATCGGACATTATTAATATATGATTTTTCCATTATTCTCTATAGTCTTTAATTATGTTATTCTCACTTAAAATTTTTATTTCGTTTCGAATTTTTTCACTTTTCTTGTGATCAAGCATGGGTAGGGCCATTATTTTGTTTCATTATAGTTTCTGTTCTAACTTTATTTTTCGGAGTTAGAGCTATTGTACCACAGAAGTGTCAACATCTGTTTAATTTTACTTGTAAATCATTATTTTTATAATGTTATTTTATAGCCAAGATAATTAAATGCGTTTACTTGTTCTATTTTAGGAGACACCTGAGGTGAGTCACTCGGCATATGATACATTTTAAATATCTCATACTTTAAAATAAACTAGTCCTTAGTTCTTATTTAGTTAACTTGAGATGTTTTGGCGCGTGAGGCATACAGCAAGAGGCGCGAGACTCACGACTTGAGGCTTAAATGTTATGGCGAGTATGCCATAAGTAGTTAGGCGTATGGCATAAGTAGAAAGGCGTTGAGCATAAGTAACTAGTGGTGCTACAGAATGGCACAGACTTTCCCGTATTAGATTTCTATTTCCTTGGGCCTGGGATAGATACTCGGAATTACCATATACTCTTGCCGGCTGCCATCTGTCACCGCCTAAAGTACATTTTCTTGATATTTTTTTGACATTTCTTACTTTTTCGGTTTTCTAATTAGAAGTGTTATTTTAATATTGTTAAAGAACTGTAAAACCTTGTCTAAAAAGGCAATTTTCTTTGAAAAATTTGGAGCATTTTTTTTCGAAAATGCCGTTTAAGCGCTTCTGTAAATTCGAAATTTGAAGCCCTTTCACAAAAATCTTTTGAGTTTTCGAAAAACTTCCATTGCAGTCATTTTATGCTTTAGCTCACAAATACAATAGTGTTTACAAATTGCTGGAAATGGCGATCCTTAAAATAATTTACATATGTGTAATTAAAAAAATAACAAAACAATACACCGAAATGAACTTTACATCATATTAAGGAGTATAATTAGTACTATGCGTTTGAAATATTTGACGAAAAAATTTCGAGCCGTTTTTGCAAAAATAGCGTTTGAACGTTTTTGAAACTATGTAATTTGGAGTTAGTTTTCGCAGAGAACGGTTGAGTTTTCCAAAAACTTTATATGACATTATTTAACGTATATGTACTCATAAATACAATAATGTGAACAAATTGCCGCTAATATAAATATTAGCGATATTTCAGAAAAAATACATTGATGTAAAATTATATTTATGTAATTTTTGAAAAAATAAAAGAATAGACCAATGCGACGTTTGTTATCTTATAGAGTACATTTTGCACTATTCTTTCTAAAATTTTAAAGCAAACATTTGGAGCCGTTTTTGAGAAAATCTTGTCTTTGTAATTTATTACAATTGCACACATTGCACGCAATATTGAGCGAAAACTACTAAACGGTTGGATAAATGAACATGACAATAATGAAAGACCTTACTATAGAGAACAAACTGTAATTGGAGGAACAATCTCCATCATTAATTGCAGTAGTCGCCCGCGCACCGTTAAAAGAGCCGCCACAAGAAGATTCAAGCGCCGCTCACGAGAGGGCAGAGGAAGCGGGCACATCGGTGCCGTTGCGCTTGGCTAAGCGCCACAGGGCGCGTCACCGACCGTAAGCCAGGGCCGGCCAGCAAGCCTTAGTCCCGGCGGGCTGTAAGAGCCGCAGTCCGAGTCATCCAGCAGTACAGTGAGCTACGGAGTGATAGTGTTGGTGACTAAGTGATCGGCTTGTGCTATGGACCATTTCCCTTGAACGTAGTTAATTGCGACTATCGCTGTGTAATTTGGACATCCACTTTGTTTACGGTAACTCTGGCTATTCTTGGTTTATGTGGTGTAAAAATGGGCGATCTCGCTTGTTAATCGTTGTTCTGTACCTTCGGGCTATTGTAATATACTTGTTTTTCCAAAAGTACGTGTTTTGGACATAACATTTATTTTGTAGACACCGAAAACTATTCATATTGTTGAATTTTCCGAAAATTCGGAGTTAACCGTGAAAATAGGATCTATGCCACGTTTATAAGTGTTACTCTATTCTTACAAAAAATTAAAGAAAATAGTTGGAGCCGTTTTTGAGATAAGTTTGAAAATGTCAAGCGAGCTTAAAGTAAAGTAACCCCAAATTTTGAAGAATGTTTTTCAAATTCTCAAAGTTTCGACTCGAGCCAGAAGGACAGGGGTTTCTTCAATTTGAAAACAACAACAACAACAACAACAACAACTACGCATGGTTTAGGCGCTAGTAGTGTTTACAGACACCAGACGGACGGACGGACGGACGGACGTTTTGAAAAAAGCACTTTTCGGTATCATGGACCACAAAACGTGTACTTCCGTTGAAATCTGTTTTCCGCAGCATTACATAACTTTCCCTATACTACGTATATAACTCCGTATACGGAAAAGAAGAAAATGGCTTATAGGCTTGAGGAGGAAGGCTTATGGCGCGATGTTTACTGCGTACCAGCTTAAAGCGTACCAGCTTAAAGCGTACCAGCTTAAAGCGTACCAGCTTAAAGCGTACCAGCGTAAAGCGTACCAGCGTAAAGTGTACCAGCGTAAAGCGTACTAGCTTAAAGCGTACTAGCTTAAAGCGTACTAGCTTAAAGCGTACCAGATTAAAGCGTACCAGATTAAAGCGTACCAGATTAAAGCGTACCAGCTTAAAGCGTACCAGCTCCTCACCTGTCTGGAGTGTGCTCGCCCATGGGCACGGCAGCCCCCGGCCGAATCCCGAGCGAGCGGCCGCGCTTGGGGCAGGCGGCGGAGCAGGGCAGGCCCATGTGCACGCCGCGCCGGGTGACGGTGGCCGCAAAGTAGCACGCGCTCTGGAAGTGGCTGCAGCGCGCTCGCCCTGCACAAGAACACGCACGCCAGTCAGTTGGTGTTCTTCTTAGTTCAAAGGATATCTTAGGGTACGAGCACAAATGGCTCGAAAATGGATATAATGAGTGTTTCGTCACGGAGGAAAGACTGGTTCACAGAGGACCATCTCTCTTTTATGGTTTAATGCACAAGAGTTACAACACTAAAGAGGACCCAGCAGTAGAGTGTATTGACAACGTACAGGTCACCCGTCTCATTCTCTTCCAACTTCTTCCCTCAGTCCTAATTCACTTTTCACCCTTCTTTTCTCTTTTCTCGTCATTTCCCTTCATCTCTTTTTCCCCTTTCCTTTCTATTTTCCCATCTTTTCCATTTACGTTCTTTTCTTTTTTCAGTTTCGTTTTTGTTCTTTTATGTTTCCTTTCTCCTCTATTGTCCTTCCCTTTTCTCCTCTCTCCCCTCCCTCCTCACTCTTTTATCTCACCATTGCTCACTCTTCTCTCACCTCTCTTCCCGCTTTTCTGCCTTGTCTTTCTCCCCACGCCTCTCTTTACCATCTTTCTCTCTGTACTCACTTCTCTCTCTACCCTTGTGTATTATGGACCCGCTTATGTAACTTCTGTCTTCATTCTCTCCGTTACTACCTTTCTACGCCCATGTTTCCTTCTGTGCTCTCTTCTCTGTGTCATCTCTGTTTGCTCATGGTATATTTCTCTCTTTTCCGTCTGTCTGTACATGTCTATGCATGTGTCACTTTCCCGCTGTGCAACTGCGGAGTCGATTCAAATGATAAGATCCCAAATCTTCGAATTCAATTTTTCATACCTTGATATTTAGACATTATCTCTGCACCTGATTTGAATATCAATCTGATCAAATGGTGCAGGAGGCAAGCATTTCGTACTGACACTTTCACTCGTTTATCATTTATTCAAGCTTTAAGAGTGATACAGATCTTCACGATTCATAACTTCATAACTCTATGCATCTCTCCTCTCATTGTATGCAAAAGACGCATGCTGACTGACAGTACCCAGTCGCGATATCCTCGAAATGACTTAGCACTTTTGTTCTTTTATTTTCCTTGTACTTGTTTATTCGTTATATGAAGAAACATATCGCTATTTCAACCGACAGCAAATTCTGTTCGGCTTTTTAACCTCCCATGCTTCAACGATATTCATTTTTTTTCATTTGCTTGAAATACGACATTCGAGCTTGGAAAACACGTACATCTTGGCTTGCAAGTCACCCGAGTAACTGCAACATTTTCTTGAAGTCTATTACCTGATTTTCGACTTTCATAAAATTCTCATTCTTGAATAAGAAGTATATTTAAAATATACAGATAATGTTATAGGGAGAATATAAAATAATTATTGAACGAACTGAGAAATAAGATTGTTATCAATAGGGTCGGATTTTAATGACCTAAAACATCGCCAAGAATCAATAAACGTCTATTAAAAAGTTTTTGAAATGCTCTAAAAGCAAAGAAAAATGAAAAATGATTAAATACAGTTCAGATGAGCAATTTAAGTTGTTGAATATGTTACTGATGTAATTGAGGCTTCTTCCCTCCGTTTCAGTGAATTCGGCTTGCAAACTATCGGTTTGGACTTTTCTTTACTAAGTTATCTCTGTCTTTAGTTATCCTGAAATTGGCCTAACCGACAATGGCGCTGATAGGCATAACGAGAACCTTCAATTACATACAACGGCTGGCATTAAAACTTCCGAGCGAAAAATCGAATAGGCTACTGGGAGAATTTTGTGGTGAACATTTGTAGCATCTCTTAAATATTATTTGAAGTAACATTAAAACGATATTAAAATCGATGGAATCGGCCAAAAATACTTTAGAAATGACGGAAAATTGTAAGAATTGTCTTTTTATTTGAAAGAGACGAAAAATACACAAAAATGTCATAAAAATGTGTGAAGTTTCGAAAAGGGAACTGTCAAATCTGCCCTGTTCTGGCCTGCCCTGATTGATGTACCCAAAGCCATCGATACAATGAAAACCATAGATTTACACATATTTTTTACAAATGCGATTCTAGCTGTTCAACAACAGCACGTTCTTTCTTGTATTATTTGTAACTATTAAGTAATAGTATAGTACTGCAACTTGTAGCTCACTAATTCTTTAACCAACTCTTGAAAATATCTCTTCAGAAAGCACACAGATTTAAAACAATACTCATTTAAAATGTTTGAAAATTCACACGTTTTATTATATTTTATGAAAATCCATCATAATGTATTGTCATCCGTGTATTGTTCTCAATCCATCGTTTGAAGAAAAATTCGAAGTCAGTTTTGAGAAAAACTTGAAAATGTCCTACGAGCTTGATAATTCATAGGTAATGCGAGTTCTTTAGAAATTGTCGGTAAATCCCCGACTCGCGAAGTGAGGAGGGGTTTATCTGAGAATTTCCAAAGCACGAGTGATGTTTAATAGTACTATTCCACAAATGAAATTATGTCCACAGAGTTCCAAAATGCGCCATATATTGAAAATAACTTTAAAAAAAGCTGTTTTAGAATCGAGGTTAGGATACAGTAAGTACGCGGTTTATTGGACATCGGCATAGCAGTGATCGATGTATATCGTCTCCTAAGATAAATGAGTCGCAGTTTATGACTGACCAGTAGGGTGAAGTTGTAAGAAAAATCGGATAAAAAAGCGCTAAACGTTTTGAGATTCACCGTCCTGATTGGGGCATGTTGTATGTATAGTTAAACACTATCGGTTTTAATTTCACGAGTGGAATAGTGCTAATAAAGATGTCGGGTAACGTGCGTGTGTCAGTACGTAGTACATTCAGTAATATATCTTATAATAGTAACTATAACAGTAATAGTCATAGTAACTGAGGAAGAAGGGAGAAGCGAAGAAGGAAAGAAAAATAGTGGTAAATGGAAAAAAATTAAGAGGTTGAGAACTAAAGAAAAGAGAAATGAAAATGCATGAAGAGGCGGGATGAAGAGAAGAAGGAAAGAGGAGGAAACGAATTGCCAAATTGTGAGCGGGCAGAGAAGCGGCTCGTCGCTGACGGCGAGTACTCACGCAGGCGGTGGCCCTTGCAGCTGGGCTGGACGCCGCCGCCGTTGACGCAGAAGTCGACGTGGCCCACCTGCGCCTCCTCGCCCAGCGCGCCGGCGTTAGTGTGGATCACCTGCACCACTTGGGCGTCGTCGCGCGTCAGCCGGAACGACGTCGACCCGAAGCGGTCCACCAGCGGCCGCGCCGGGTCCAGCCCTGCGACGCGTGGCGCGCACACGCGCGGTTACCAGGGAACAAATGTTTTTTCTTCTTCTGGGTACGCTCCAGCGCGGGCGAACGTGTCTTTTGGTTGGTAATCGGTCATCTTAGAACCGCCCGAACGTGCGACTATACCCACCAAGGCCCAGTCATATTTTCCCGGGGGTATGTGCACCTGACTTTTTCGGGGGGGGGGTGAGGATCCGCATTTCTGTGCTCAATCGACTTTTACACTTCAAGGTTGTTTGCCCTGGGAGATGAGGTATAAAATTTTGTTATTGTTGTTGTTGTTGATGATGATCATGATGATGATGATGATGATGATGATGATGGAGGATGGAGGGACAATTACAGACACAAACATCCAGGTGGAATTCGAACCCGCAACCCTTCAGCGAAATCCACCCGAATTTTGTTTTGAAAATGCGCATAAAATCCCAGAAACAAAAGCCGATTCTTTCATTGTAGTAACTGATCAAGTTGTTTTAGCGAAAAGACATCACCAATAACATGTAAGATAAGGCGAGTTACCTTACCATTTGAATATAAATTAAGAGCGCCTTACCTATAACTTACTTTTAAGTTAAACCTTCTTGAAATTCATCCATAAACAAATTTTTTGGTATCCGTGATGCCGATATAGCGTTGAAAATATCGCCTGCGATAGTCCCCCCTTCTAACATGGCGTGACCTTCGAGGGAACAATAAAGCAGGTATCATCGGCTAGGAAACTTGTTTCACTTCAGATGTTACTCCCTCCCCCTCCTGAAGCTCCGAAACGCAAGGTAAACTCTGACCAGAGGAATGAAATTTACTGTACTATGATCATGTGATCTTCGTTATTTGCGTCTGAAATCTCAGTAGAATCTTTTGTGGATGCGAAATGTTAAGGGTTAGATGAGGTAAAGATTATATACCATCCCCGAGTAAATGTACACAAATTGCTCTTATTACCCGCACGATTTTACAGCGTTTTAACGGTTTCTAACTTTAATAAATCAATAAAATGAATTAATTTAATTTAATACTTTAATGAATGCTTTTACAAGTTTAGAGGAATATTGTGGCAGAAGGCAGTTGATTGTACGCTTGTGAAAACGGGACGACTACTACTAGGAAATTTTATCGGGCCCATTCTCTAAATTAAATGTACCTTTTTCATCGAATGGTAGAATGTCTTGAAATATTAAAAAAAATTAACTTACGAAATATGTCTCTTAGAAATTTGTAGAAGGGGATACCATCAAACTTTTTCATTTGCTACCGCAAATTTGTGTATGCATGTATCTTTGAAACACTTTGAATTGTGAAGAACTGAAACACTAACGATCTCACTTGAGCAGAGTTGCGAATTCACGATGACTAGCGTTGACTGCAGTGGCACCTGGTTGCAAAATTTTAAACTACACTGCCATCGTTGCCTAAGCGAGTTCGCGATGTGTACCAGTTGAACTCCGCTGAGTCGCACACAGATGGCAGTCCAAGCGGTTTTCTCCTTCGCGCAGGAATGACGCTCGCTCAGTTCCCAAAAGTCGACTCCCCGCTGTGGATACTGACTCTGTCGGTGTAGTGAGTAAATAGAACAAATGTTTCTCTGAACAAAAAAAGTAAGTTTTACTCTCTTTGTTAAAGAAGTCAGTATTAATTTTATAGATGTGATATTTAAATGTGGATAGCCATACATCAAATGATGGCGTATTTAGTGATTAAAATAATTGTATTGGATTTCAATTAATATCAAAAACTGTTAATTTTAAGCGACAACGTGAATCTGTAAATTGTATTATGAATCAGTAGTTTTTACCAAAAATGACTGACTTAAAGGCGGAAATATATTTTCAGCAAACGCCTATGACTATGACTATGACTGTAACTATAACACTCGACGTAGTAATCATGTTCATCAGGTGACTGTATCAACAATTCACTAAAAAAATCAAGTGCATGTACATTAATGTTATCTGTCAAAATGTAAAATAAACAATTAAGTTCGATACAAAAGTGTCACAAGTCAACTCTTTTCTGCTGCATAGCTGTTTGTATACTATGCCGAGCATCCAAAAGGAAAGTAGTATTAATTTTAACAATGACATTTACTGTATCATTTACCAATTGGACTGTATAATTCTAAAGAACCTGTAACCAGTACTGTACTTCTGCTTCTGGGTCAATGACCCCCATCTTGATCAGGTTTTCGTCGAGTTTCTCTAATTCTTGAGCAAATGCTTGATGGTCCCTTTTTTTTGCTTTTGAACATTAACGTAACTTCAAATTAACTTCTCTCTCATGCGCGTCACATGAATAACAGTTTTTTTAGTATTTGTGAAGAAAGTAAATACAAAAATAAAATAACTATCATAATTTTAGTTTATTTTCTTTTGTTGTAAGGGCGCTATGAAACCAAATTAGATGTGCTATTGCGATATGCACCTTAACAGAATTTTATAGATCCCGTATGTATCTCCATTACTTATGTGAACTTAAAAAACAGTCTGACAATGGTAGTCCTAGGCGTGTCAGAGTTGTCCATTGAAAGCAAAATAAGGTCTCGCTATAACGAGCATTAAAATATTTAAAGCGATAGAAAACATTGTTTTAAAAACTTCAGAAAAGGTACCTTCACTTTCTCAAAACAAAACGAAGCAATTATTTCAATTATTTGCTGAGATGGATTTTAAAACTCATATAGTGCGTATTTTTTCCTAAACGCTAAATATTTTACAATTCTTATAATAATTACAAATGTTAGGTAACTCCAATGGTATGTTTTTACATAAAAGTCGTTTATTTAGGTTTTTTTTTGATTGGTAGGAGAGGAAGTTTGTGTGGTTAAATGTCACCCTCCAGAGTAGGGTGACCTTGAACCACACTTGTCCGCTTCGGCCTTTCTTATGAGAATGAAGGCAACTTTAAAAGGATTACGGGGTTGGGTGTCTTTATACAATGCAAGAAAAAAGGTCAAAATTTTAACTCTTTTTCTTGTCAGCTCAAGCCGTAATAATCAAACGTACGAGCAGAACGGTGTTGCAATATGGTGTGTTGAACTTCCTAGCATGGGGTAATGGTTAAAGAAACTGAAAATACACTCGCCAATTTTAATTTAAGAGACATTCTTAAAAGTGGTGCGAGGTGCAAAGACACCCTCCGCGGTGTAACGTCAGCTCAAATGACTATATGTCCTTAAACAAAACATATTATATTTCAGTTTCAAAGTTAAAAATCAATCCAATTGAAGTTTGAATTGTTATAAAGTTCGTTGATATCCCACTTGCACGCAACACATTGAAAGAGGATAGGGTTATTTGTTTGTTTTATATTCGCGTTTCGTGCGTGTAAAGCTTTGAAGTGTCGAGCGTGGGATAAGCTGTTGCGTTAACTTAATTTGCTTGCACGAACGGCGAATGCTACTGATGTTGATCGTCTGTCTGTCGCGTCTGTTAGTCTGATGAAGTAACATTCGCGGTATATTTGGCCGTACAACCTAGTTAACGTAGATGCCTCAAACAGAATGCTCCACGTAAGATGTAAATCCGCGAGCAGTATTTGAAAGGCAGAATGGGAAAGTTCATTTACTGCACTAGCTACTCGTATGTCGCTTTAAGCCCGCGCATCCGTATATTCATGTACTCACATTCGCACATACAGCTGACATCCTGTTGTTCACTTCTAATTATAATTTGTGACCCGGAACCAAAATCCTTCGAGATGTCCTGTATTGTGTGTAATTATTTGGATGATGGATTTCACCATTCAGTGAAAGCAAATTTTGAAAGAAAGGTTGGAAGAAATGAAATACTGGAAGAATATTTGAAAAAAAGGAATGAATGTATTATTTCAACACTTTATGAATTATTGATTGCCGTTTAGCTCGCAAGTAAGTCGCAATTGTTGAGAAGAATAGTTTTTTTATCAATTTAGAACAATCACCATTATTAGTGAATGTAAAATATTATTAGTACCCTGTCAGCAGGTCTACAATATCTAGACAGCTTTTCCTTTGGTAACTTTCTGAGCCTTCAATACGTTTCATAAATCCTTGTGCTGTATATCAACTGCTATCTAATCTATTGATGCAGTAAGACGAATGTGTTTAAAAAAGGACTTATTTGCTATTAAGTCCAAAGTGGCAGTAAAATGCAGTGCGCCTTGTACGCCCTAGAAGAGAACCAGTTAACGGTTTTTTAAAGTGCATTTGAATTGCAAGCAAATTTTCTAATCTTGAATGGATGCATTAAAGACAAACAATGAGCATTGATTTAATGATTGATGATTCCGGGATACCATTAGTCCCGTAAGTGAAGAGCATGTTTTCATCGCATCGGTGATCTTCTCCCGCTGGATGGCGATATCCGGCGTCAACCTTCACGTCAACTTGCGGGGTTTTCCCACCCAGGCAATTACCCCCAGTGGGGCACCGCCACAGCCGGGTCGATTTCTAAGCTCCCGACCGGTCTCCCGGAATGTGTGGTAGTGGAGTGCGCGGAATTGTGTTAGTGTGAGTGAGTAAGGGGTGAGGAAAGGGGAAGGAAGAGGAAGTAGGGATCGCGCGCGGTCTGTGGCCCATTTGTTACGGTACTGCTCCGGCATTCGCCTGGTATTGATCGGAGAAACCACGGAAAACTACCGATCAGTGCAGCCGGCAGCTAGAGTTTGAACCTAGACAGCAGATGAATTCAGCCTACCTATGCATCTACTGCCGAAAATCCTGCCACCGTCAGGATTCGTAGCTAGGACCTCTCGGTGAGAGGCACTGCAGTGACATCAGTTGGTGCCCCGAGCCATCTCTAGCTTTGGGAGCGTTGTGTGGTATTTCGATGTGATGTAAAAGCTTTTGGTAAAGTGTAATTATTTGAGAAAAGTACAAATGCATATAATGAATGTACCAAGACCATGATAATTTTTATTCCTTGTTTTCTGGGAAATCATATGCCACAATAAACAAACCTGTTTTATTCTGCTAGGAAAACAACCAGCTAGTTGAAATACCTCTCATTCCTGGAACCCTCGAGCATCATTCAATGAATGTGGGTGGTACTTTAATTTGAAACAAAGCAAAATAATTGAGCGCAATGTATTTGAAAATATTACTTCAAATGTATCATTAAGTGCAAAAATATAAAACATGGCATAACACACCGTGAGATTATTTTCTTCCGGCGTTATATGAATTTTTTCAGACATATTATTTTGATTAATGGGAAACTGTTTCCCAAATCCAGCGAACCGTCGTTCCCAGGTATTCACGTTCGTATAACAACCGACCTTTCAGCGCGTTAAATTTACAATGAGCTGTAATAGGAAATGTCACTGTCGCGTTGGTCTCGGTCGTAATGTGATGTGATGTGAAATTTACTCAGTTCATAGTGGTCGCGGCTGATGTCGAAGAACTATTGTAGTACTGTCGTGTACATTCAGTCATTAAACCTGACCGCTACGCGGACGGGCGCCCAGACCACTGAAAGCTTACTGCTTGTTACACGTACATTAACCGACATGCGAGCAGTGCTGGCTCAGCTCTCGTCTATTATCTTAAACTAGTTTCTCACCGATGATCAAACGTATTTGAAGAGATTTAGTGAATGTAGGCTCGAACATTTATTGTACTTCTTTTGCTAAATTTTATATCGTAGTAATTACTATAAGATTTTTCTATTACCGGTAAGTTACTCTTTTTTAAAAATTCAATCCGACCTAATCACAAATATTTTAAAATATTTCCCACCAATGGTTGCATTTTCGTGGAGGTGAAACCAATTACACATTGAAGGTTTTAATAAATGATAAAAAAATAGATCTTAATTGTTCAGGAGTCGCCGCGTTTTAAGTAGTGTTGCCAACGTTTCCTACTGCAATCTTCGTCGGGATGAACTCATTTAATCTTTAAAGTTTAAACTCTGTACGAGATCTTACCGAGCATATGTCGTGTAAAAGAGCCTCGACAGAAAGCAAAATTAAAGCTTCGGATATATATATATATATATANNNNTATATATATATATTTGAAAGCCTCATAGACAATGGACGACGCAAGTAATGCACAAGAATGATGACTATATTCACTCCTTGGTGATGAAAATCAGAGACAACATTAGTTGGTGGCACTGGAGGACAATAAAGGGTCGGAGGGGTGGGACAATAAAGGGTGAGAAATGCACAGGCGGAGTTCCTGAGGGTCAAGCCGTGGACGCCCTATGCATGGAAAGCAATAATGCACGAAGAGCTCTCATCAATACCGAACTCCACAATACCACTTCGACACCACATTGAACCACGGTGACCACAGAGATGATGTCCGGTGGTAGCCGATGGTTATGGAGGGAACGTGCTCCCTTCATAATAGTTGGTTGCCGCCGGACAACTTTTGTCAATCAAAATTGTAGTGTAAGAGCGTGCAATGTTTATTTCTAAACTCTTCTGCTATTGTATTGCAAAATGGCACTCTCAACTAACGTGTGTCACCTTGCACCCTCATCCTCTCCGTGGCCTACACAGCTAGCCTAGCTGGGGAAAGCCATGTGGGCGGGACACACCTGAGCGTTCATTTCCTAGTACCTCCCTACCCTTCGGTTTCTAGTGTACTGGTGGGCTGCCACAAAGCGTTACATAGAGCATAAAACCTACAGTGGAAGTGACAGTAGATACACTCAATTCTCTCGCTAATCCGGGCAGAGAACGGTGGGTTTATGGGCTTCGCGTAGTATGGATTAAATAAACATAACGATAAGTAGGGGTACGGACGTTAAGTAGTGTTATGGTGTGAGAGACATGACAGGTTTCATGTGGCTAGTCTGGCCCCTTCACACGGTGCCAATCAGCAGCGCTTTCAAGTGACTCGTCTGCTGGCAAAGCTTTGATTTAAAATGGGGCATTCTCACGAGCGGTGTTGTTGAGCTGCTGCGGTGTTTGGTGGCAAACTCCTGAACAGTTCTAACGATTCTAACTGGCAGCTTTCACACTAGACCACTCTGACACGCCACTGAAACTAGTTTTACCTGTTGATTGGTTTGCGGCGCCGCAGGAGCCCACAACGGTGTTGGTTACAAATCCTTCCTTTCTCGCGGGTTCGGCGCTCGACGGTGGCTGTGTACGAAAGTGGTCAGCGCTTTTTGACGGTGCCACAGAGTAGCTCCGTGTGAAGGCAGCCTTAACCTCAACTGGACGCGGGAGTTAAGACAAAGGAGGAATAGACACAATAAAGAGAGGAATATGGTACTTATCTCAAGAATCCTGCAGGGTATGTCAATAGAGACGGAGAATTCACTTACTCACTTTCTCAATTTTTCATCGCCGCCTCTACGATACCACATGCATTACACTTAAGAGACTAATTTTTGACGTTCGTTCATGGGAAATGCTGGATCAATCAACTTACTCGGACGGAAACGACTTCAGCTGAGAGCGTAGGCGTCCGCGGCGGGAGTCAGTAGCTTCTTGACTGTCCGAAAGATGCCGCGTCCTAGGCACAGGTGCCAACTTTTCGGCCACCAATCTGCGATCGTCGTCAGAGCCAAATGAATTTCGGCGGCTAATCCCTGTTGGCACCTGTGCCTAGGACGCGGTGTCTCCCGGAAAGCCAAGTAAGGAGTTCCTATGAAACAAGTAGCGCAACGTAAGTATGCTTGTGCGGCCGTGCTTACCGATAATTTTGTACTGCTTGGCGGAGAGGTGGTTGGTCATCATGCCGCAGATGTGCGCGCCCAGGCTGTGGCCCACGCAGTGCGTCTGCTTGGCGAGCGCGCCGTTGAACGTGAGGTGCGAGTAGAGCTGCGCGGAGCACTGCGCCACCAGCCGCGTGTTGCTGAGCGCGGACAGGTAGCACGGGAAGCGCGTCAGCGGCTCCCAGTCCACCGTGAACACGTTGTAGTCCCCGCGCGACACGTACGCTGAGGACAACGAACCCGAGACGCTGGAAGTTATGGCTTTGGCGAGGAATGGGACTAGCTGACGTAGGAGAGGAATGGTGATGTTCAAGCTCGTAACATGATGCGAGTAGAGCTCCGCGGAGATCTGCTACCAGCCGGGTGTTGCTGAGCAAGGATAGCTAGCACGGGAAACGCGACGAAAAACAGCATCTCTTTTACTAAAATTTTGTTTAAAATGGTTCCAATTCTTTTGAATTAATTATCTTCCCCCTCAGATAGGACAACGTAGTGTGAAAAGTGGGGCAAATCTCATTTGCGTTTATCCCTCCGAATATTTTATCGTCATTCTACAACTGCTACATTGAAGATAGATTTTTTCGTTCTTCAAAGACATATCCTTATGTAAAGTTATCAACAATTTTTCGAAAATATGAGTAGTTTTCAGGAATCAGTACGAAAATATAGGAAATTTAAAAAATCCAAAAACCGACTCCTTATTTTTCCATATTTTCTTCAATTAAGCAAATTTTGCTTACAAAAATGGCGCAGCTCCCATTTCAAATCAACTATGTATTTTTGAAAATTGCAAAACATTCACACCGCAAAAGTACAATATTATTAATCTAGATTTTTCCTTAATACGTTTTTTTTGAAAGAGTAATTTCAATAAGTTTATGTAAAATTTATTGAAAATGTGAGTGATTTTGCGTAATTATTGTTTTAATAGAGGCAATTTGTATTATTTAAATCAAAACAGCTCTAAATTACTTCAATTTTTTGTTCTTTCTTATAGAGGAAACTTATAACAATGCCGTAGGTTTCATATTTGTTGAAGTCTCTGAATTTTCGTTCATTGCAAAAGTTACTGATATTACAAGAAAGCATGTGATTTTGTAAGCCCACTAGCTTATTACTTGAATGATCGAGTTCGAGTAGACTCCTCCCTGGTTGTTTGCTCTCTAGCGTCACTTTCATCCGCGCTCCTATGCGGCCTCCGCGTGCCCGAGCGGACGCTCAGCGCTGCGGAGTCCTGTGCGAGCGCTTGCGCCCCGCGGGACGAGAGTGCCGTGGGCAACGCGCGATGTGCCGTGATGGGGCTCATGCGGAAAGCTGCTCGCAGAGACCGACTCTTTCCCCTGACGAACCTGCTCTGGGAGGATAACAGAACTTGTCTCCGTTGTAATTCTCATGTGGTTCTCGGAATCAATAGTTTACGACGAGAACTAAACGGTTTATTTGGTAAGGGCCATTTTGAAGTACAATTGTTTGACATGGTTCGAGGAACTAATTCCTTATTGATAAATCAAGCAGTACTCTTTTAGTACAGATGCAGAGTGTGTTTTGAATGATTTACGCTTTTTTAAATACTTACATTATTCTAATTTGTATTTTCTAGAAATTTATAGCTAAAATTTTAGCAGCTTGTTTTATGTATTAAAATGGGTTATGTTTTTAGTGTTTACTTGTGGATATTGTCTAAACCTGTCCTCTTTTCCTCCGTATACTATAGCATAAAGAGGGAGGGTTTTGGAATCACTAAAACAATATGGTCTCGAATTTTCAATTATGAAGACCACTTTTTAAATTTTATTGAGTTGTAACTTTACACACGTCAAGATTAAGGCCTATTAGTGTTGTTCCAAAGATCGTTACGTTTGGTGGACGTGGCGAAGAGATACACGCAATTTTATACTATAAAATCTTGATAACTGTATGGATGGGTATATGTATGTATCAAGAATAACTCCGTCAAAAAATAAAGTTTTGTGCTGAAGTTTGGAAAATATGACAGAAGTATGGTTTGGTTGGGCCGTTTCGGAGGTCATCAAGATATATTAATTTTTGGTGTACTTTACATGAAGACACTGTGTCAAATTTTTCTATGAAATAGAAAAATTTTTTTGATTTAACTGTTTTGATCGAATAAGGAAAAGAGTATTTATACATATGGTATAGTTTCAATTTTAATTAAAATTTCCAAAATTTTGAAAATTGCAAATGTTCAAAATTGTTTTCAAACATGTTCTATACCTCCATTCTAAAGACAGATATGCCTTGTTCAATGTTTTTATTCCCCAGTTTTAGATATTTGAATGACGCCGTACACGTTAAAAAATATAAATAGTTGTTGAGCAAAATACACCAGGTGGAGGAAATTTTTCGGTATGCCGCGTATACCCCGTAGTATGATGTAAACGGTATGTGTTTTTTTAATGATGAAGATTGTTTGTTTTCGAAACTTTGTGATAATATTTACCCCTCAGTTTTCCGTTATCTATTTGAAAACCCATATTCTTTTTTTATTTGCAATACCTTTTTTATTCTTACTTGGTAATGGAACATTCCTTTAACAGCGCACTTGATCCCACCAACTTTCAATTGATCATGTGAAAACTCGACAAAGTCAAGCATCTCATATAACATTATATTTTATGGAAGAATGATGTTGAGAAAATAAGTTACTCGGTTGTGAACGGGAAGAATTCTGGTCGCGTATTGCAAAATTCAAGTAGAAGAATTTATATTTAAAGATTTTTTCCACTTTCTCTATCAGGTTAATTGTATTTCCATTTAATTATTTTACAAAATATTTGTGAAAACGTTGGTAACTCACCACTTCTGATGAATGTCATTGGAGTTTTGCCTTCCGTGCCGTTGAAGCCGTGGATGATGATTACGTTCTTTCGTTGCGGATTCCAACCAGCGTACTTCAGGGAATATGGACTTCGGATATCGATCTGCTTCCCGTACCAGTTGTCTCTGCAACATTCGTACTTACATTTCTTTCTTGATACATAGGGAACATTTTGGACTGAAAATTCACTCTATCGTGTCCTGTTTGTGGAGAAATAGAAGTTATTCAACAAATAATACTGTGGGGTTATTCAGAACATGATAATTCCGAAATCACATTTAGAAGCAACTTTGGTAATTATATTTCTAAACGGATTGCAAATTAACTAGGCAGTTCTGTTTCTTGATTTTTTTGTTGTGAAGTACTTATTCGAATGATTTTTTTCAATCCGTTTAAAATGTAATGATGCGTAACAACCAGAGTTGCATCCGAATGCGATTTTGGAAATACGTTCTGACCAAACGCCTCAGAACAATCGTTGTGAAGGAAATGAAAATATGTACGTTCCGAAACCCGTTTCTCTGCAAAAATAGCGTCATGGTTTCATTTTGAACATTTATTCTATAATATGAAATATTAGCGAAATTGAATTTTTTTTGTCACTAACAGTACAATTGTGAATACAAGTGATAATTTTAATAAGTATCGGTGAATATCTCACTCAGTCCCCACAAATTATCTCTGAAGAATTGAAACAAAATTTACATCTGAACATAGCAACATTTCAATCACAAACTCATTGACTATATCACTCTTCCAAAAATTCATACTTCCTATATCATCCTTCCATTTTTCTTGAACATTGATGTTTCCAACCGAAAATTCAGTCTATTACATTACACTTGTCGCAAAAATGGAAGTTATTTGACAAAAAATTATGATTAATATTATCATTTCGGGGAAGCTGGTAACGGGGTCATGACAGGGTTTATACGAAAGCACGGAGCGAAGTTCGGTGGAGGACGTTGCGAGGGAGAAAACAGAATGATTGACAGGTGGTGTCACTTCTGCTCCGCCAGGCGATCGTTGGCAAGATAGCTTGACAAAATGTCATTACCAACGCCCGCTTACACCCTCCCAGAGAGACAGAATATTCAGCCAACACAATCAAAACGAAGGCAAGTGTGCCATCTTTAGTATCTGAGAAAAAAAACAAAAACAAAATTGGCTGCAAGTCAGATATGTTCGAGCCACACCTCCATTTCTTTTATTTGTGCGTTTATATTCTACTTAATTTTACATCTTTCTCAAGTAACTTGAAATCAAAATTAACTGCCTAAATTTTTCGAGGTCTTGAACCCCTCCATCCGAAAATCGAACTCAGGTTTAGAAGAACCAGAATCTCCTAGTCTATTCACAGCAGCCCAAAACACTGGTGGGATTCCCGGTCGCGGTGAGTAATACAGTTAATAACTTGCTCTTTCAATGCGGATTATATATATATATATATATATATATATATATATATATATATATATATACCTGTACCCCTTATCCGTTAAACGGCATCACATCACAGTGTGTATATTAATTGGTGAGAGGTAGAAACGGACCGGAATATTTGTCATAGTCATTAACGTGACAAAGCTCACTGTGAGGTGTGGCACAGGGATATCAAAGGAAATTTTCGAAACTATTATTTTCTTATTAATACATATTATTAACAAAATCATTTCAACTAATTTTATAACCACCAAATGTGTACTATTATTTTTATTTTATAGATTATTAACGATATATTTAACATCTTTTTTAACATTTTTTTATACCTTCATTGTACAGTATTGTACACATTGTCTGTATTTCGAATATGTTACTACTGAGCTCTTGCACCCAACATTTTTATGACAAGTCACCAGTTATTTTATGTGCTCTTGACGTGCAACTAATTAAAGGCTCAAAATTGTCGACCTTTGAAAACTGAAAAATGCAATAATTATGTTCATAAAAAATGGAGCTCACAAATGGGTACCTCGGGTTAGGAGGTTTTCTGTCCGAGTTTTGGATTAAAATAGTCTTAAAGTAAATGTAATCAAGAAGATAAATAATACACACAATAGAAAACTAAGAAGACCTATATTCTTAGTATTATATAATAAGTGTTTATGTCTACTTAATTAAAAATTTTAAAATATTATACCTGCACAAACTATCCACTTTGTATTTATTACGTTTACGTTTCTATATTTAACATCATTTAAACTTCTTGAAAGAAAATTTTGCAAATTTCTCTGATAATTCGGTAAGATATAGGATTATTATGGGCATCTAAAATGAAACAAATACATTATTTTCATAAAAATAAAACCGCCGACATTTATTGTATGAAGTATTAAATAGCATAATGTTTAAAACTATCAAAGAAATTTACAAAATATAAAAACTCGGATTAATTTTTTGGCAGTGCCGACTACAAATTAGTTAACTGTTAAAATAATATATCGTAAAAAATATGACGTACTTTTTTCATATTTTGAATTAAGTATTAACTGATTTCAACAAATTGAGGTTTGGAATAAAATATTTAAATTGAGAAATATTTAGGAATGTCTACCAGTATTTCCCACAATAACTCAAACATTTGCTGATAGCAACCTCTACCATATATCATTTTTATAAATTTCGATTTTTTTGTTTCGCATTTAACGTTGATCAGCTTTAAATGATATTTAAGGATCCAGGGAATTCGAAAATTACCTTTTTAATAATCCTTCTGCATATATTTGCAAAACTTTTTATATTTATTTTTCTTATTGTTAAAAGGAAAAAATCGATTTGAATATTTTGTGTCTCATATAAATACAATTAAAGGATACCAATATCAAGAACAAAACAAGAAATTAAAGAATTTAATAGATTTAATAGAGTTTGAAAGGATCAAATATAACATATAAAATATAGTAGATTAATGTTTTTGTCGTGATATTTACTTCATTTGAACACACTTTCACCTTTTCTGACAAGATTGCCCCTTTAAGATTTTAATTTTCAATGCCTCTGATATTCGCCTCTTTATTGGCTTTTTAATGATGCTTTCCAGCCGTTTCATTTTCTACATTTCGCAAGATTCTTCTCGAGAAACTCTGTTTATTTCAGTTATTTCGTTTTGGAGACAGTTTTTACCCATCAGAAGACTACTGGTTCTGTTCCATGCAAAATTCTACTAAAGCCAACCTCCAACCTATTATCCTTCTTTTGATAACGTTACAGTGTTATTTACGCCCAAGCATTTCCTCATCCTCTCAACTTGAACACTCTCCGAAATTTCTCGCCTTGCGCACAGACTTAATAGGGCTTCTGTGTTAAAACTTTCACATGCATCGCAAGAAATTGCCAACTTTTCGTTTCCCAAAAGTTAGACTACTCTTTTGCCGCTGGGACATTGCTCGTGTTTAGGATAATAAAGTTGCTAGATCGTTTATGACAAGGAGGTTCGGTAACTTTTTTTACAAGAACACTGGTGAGCGACCACAGAGAAATGTTTAAAGAACAACGCCGTGGAAAGTGAACGGAGAAGGACGTCTTGTGGTTTAGGGCCCCGTACCTTCTTTATTGCTCATAAAGTCGACCCTTCCTACAAATAATGTTACCTCCCCGAACTCGATAAGGTACGTTTCTTTGCTTTTACTGCTGGAAGGATGATCAGGGCGTGTATAAATACTTGAATTCGCATTCTTTCGTGTCGTGGTGATACACGTAACATGCAGTAGAACCTCGATTAATTATATTTCGATTATCCGTGTTCGCGGTTAACCTTGTTCACAAATCCGAAGAAACACAAATCCACAAATCTGAAGAAAGGATATGCCGATGGAGCACCACTTGTTTACCTAAATGTTAGCCGCCAGGTATCGACACAACGGACTCAGTCGAATTTATCCATTCTTATGTCTTTCCCTAGCTGTGCAAATATGGGATATGAATAAGTCTGGCATATATTTAATGGCAGTTAAGAATAGTATATTAGAATTCAGGAAATTAAATTGAAATTACCGAATTTTCATATTATTGCAAATATGAAAATACATTCTCTCGTTTGGGGTTTGTTCCGGTTTCTTTTGACTGTTAAAGAGAAAATACTAATGGATGCCCTGTATTGCTTGTGGACTTAAATGTAGATACAACGTACAAAAAAAACTTGGGAACTTCTTATATATTTAGCTAAGTAAAATAGCTACAAGGTCTTTAAATATATCAGAAACATTAAACACATTTACCTCATAGATCATATTAAGATTCAGCAAAATGCTGCGGTTTCTACCATTTGCTGACAGGTCGATGTGACCCGATGTCTCGTGCATGTAGGACTCTACCTGTTTGTGTCTGTCAGCACGAGGGACTACCGCAAACCTCCAGCCGCCTTGCCCTCAGAAATACCCTGATATTCCCTTGCAAAACGGACTGAATCACCCCCAGAGCCAGCCTGAATGGAAATTACCTGGTAAAATTCCCGACAAATTCCCGACGATTCCAATCTGAGTCCTTGAGATCAAGAAGCCAGTGTTCTAACACTGAGTCACCGCGGCTTCCACTGATAATAATAATAATTATAATAAATAATAATAAATAAACAAGTTTTACAAAAATACATTTAGCTTTCAGCTGAAGAAACATGAAACTACGTAATCTGTTCCAATGTGGCGGGGGTATCTTCTATTTTTTTAACTATCCGAGTTGTTTTAAGGAATCCGGTACTCGTAGTTTTAAGTGTACAGCTACAGCTACAGTTAATAATGTGTGTACGAAATTATACAAAAATACTTATTTCAAGAAAATACATGTGACTTTAAAGCAACATGGGAAGATCAAATGTGCATGTTGAATTTAGATACCTTGCAACAAAAAGGACAAGTTAACGTAAGTAAGAGAAAATTCTTCTTATCTTCTCAAAGGAAATTAACCAGTGATGTTCTTGGTAGCTAAAAGTTCACCTTTCAATTGTGTGAGAGAAGAGAACTGCGAGAGAAAAGAGTAAAATAAACGGAAGTAGTCTTCAAAGCTACTGGCTGTCCACACGGCTCCTGTTGATTTGCATCAATATTTCAAAATACTTACAAGTATGAAATGCATGAAAGGATAAAAAAGAGTAAATCATATAGCCTTTTTTGGTCTCATTTTAAATTTAATTGATTTCCTTTCTGGTAATAATGTGATTGTTACCATTAAATAAAAAGCATAATAAGTTTCACATTGGATGATTGAAAGCTCATACGTCGCTTCCAAACGGAAAAATTCGAAGTTTGTTTAGTACTAGTAATCAGATTCCAGGAAAACACCAAAGAGTGTGATTACCATTAAAGTTGTGAGATAACATGTCAGGTATCAATATTTTAATTCCACTAATGATCATTTCGATCGCGTAGCGATCATCCTCAGAGCTAGTGGAATTAAAATATTGATACCTGACAATATCTCTATTTATTGATCAAAATAAAAAAAGGTATCTACTTCACCAACAATCCAATTAATAACATGTCATTTTATGAATATGTTAGCATGCATTAAATTGTAAGTAATGTATATGGTAATGCTAAAGTTTTTATTTTCAATTTTTTAAACTCAAATTGCGGTGAAGCCTTAATATAAACCTTAAAAAAGATTCTGATTTAAAGAAATGTGCTTCAATATCAATTAATATAAGAAAATTCGACGTAGACGATGCCCACCTTTGTATTCTTAGTTTATAACTTTTCATTTATTAATCTATTACAGATTATCAAAGTTCGTCATTACTCCACACATCACTATAATCATTGGCCCAGGGAAGGGGAGAGGGTGACAATACAGCTCATCTCTGGCTTTCTATTGAGGCTCACGTTTGGTACATTTCATAATAGAGTCTTTCGTCATCGTCTGTGTTATTACTAAATTCTCTTGCATGTCATTGTGGTAATTTCTGGCGCGCTGGAAATTAAAATACTTCTACAAGAATTTATATATATATATATATATATATATATATATATATATATATATATATATATTTCTCTTATTTCTGAGACGGGATGATTACACTAGGGAATAAAAAAAAACTTTTTCATTCCTCCAGGATGAAAGTGAGTGATTTCATAGGAAATGATTACGCAGATTTCGAAAATCATTTTAAAACGTTTCTATCGCGCAGGGTTCAAGAGATATAAACATATTTATTATTTCAAAACAACAGAATCCTATATTAATTTCCACATTGTCACTTGGTTATATTACTACAAAATTTTATTTTTCCTTCATGTGAGGTAAGAAAAAGTTAAAAATGGAATACGCATATTAGTGCAATAATATTGAATTCTCTTGGAAGGATAAATTCCTATTGCATTGCTTAAAAATCTTTGTGCCTTGCAATTACTCTTGTATTCCTGTTTACAAATACAATTTACTCCTGTAATATGAACTATACATCGTCTGAACTTTTAATACAAGTCTTTCCAAATTTTAGTGTTATCTGTTGTTCATTTATGTAAGAAATAAATTTCGTCGTGATAAAACGTGCCGCAATGATCTTGAAACTGCTCGAGGATGAACGGTTGTCGACAGAATACACTATATTACCACTTTATTACATATTCGTTACACACCTTCTACCTCTCCTGGAATTCTGATCAGGCTTCAGTGTTTGAAATGGGCAAGTTCAACTATTTTTATCTCTTGTAGTGAAGCTTGCTGTAGAAGTGATGTGCTAAATATGTTATTTGTGCCGACAGTGTATGCCAAAGCGAAAGAAAGAAAAACTAGCGCAACATTACACATAATGTCGTTGGTCACGTGTTTTTGTCATGGTCTAAGTGTAAACTAGATTCTACGAAGACACTTAGGCTCTACGTCTTTAGGCAAGACGTGGTTCTTCTTTACCGTATTCTCCTACTATTCAGTCATATTACTTACGGTGTGTAAAGGTAGAATTTGATATCTGGATCTGGACACGTGACAGACCGCTTCAGAACGCACCGCCAATAGCGAATGTCGAAGGCGTTGAAAATGGTCGAAGAGACTCCTGAAACACATCGGAAAAACACACTTCTCGTTATCAGGCAAAAAAAGAAGAATGAATATACATTTGTGGTTAGGCAATAGTTATTTTTATATACACACACATTAAAAACACACTTCTAGTTATCAGGCAAAAACAGAAGGATGAATATACATTTGTAGTTAGGCAATAGTTATTTTTATATTAAATGCATTAAGTTATTGTTATTTGCACGATCGACATTGAGAGTGTTTTGCCGAGACCAACATGTCGGCAAAAAACTCTCAATTGAGATCGAGCAAGAAACAATAACTTCACTCACCAAATATAAAAACAACATTTTTTCTGCGAATGTATAAAAGTGTTTTTGTAACTAATTGTAGTTCATTTCATCTCCATTCTTCGTAGTTTTATCCCATTCCGTAATTTTATTGTGTACACGGCAGTGAAGCATCATTGTCACAGAGAGCTCTATTTACTATTCAAAAACAAAAGCAGGAGGCCATGGTCTAGTCTATGTGACGGTTAAGTGAAGCATTAATGTGCTAGGCGAATTTATCTCTTGTAAATAGATATTACATTATGGTTTTATATTGAGAAATAAAAAAAATATTGATATTATTATAATAATATCAATAACATTATTGATATTGAGACACCGCAGGAATTGTTAAAATGCGTGGACGCCGCAGTATCTACTTTATTACCTGTAAAGTTAAAAGCTGTATACGACTCCCTTTGTCCCTTTTGTCCTTTTCGGTGTCCTTGCGGTCAGACGAATGTATTTTGTTTTCTATGTTGCATTCACAGATGTATCACAACACTTTCGTATCGTCTCACCTTTAGCACTAGTGCTAAAATTTGTACTTTCAACACGATAGGCATGTCCTGAAAAAACCGCTTTAGTAGTGGATGTGTAAAAGAAAATGTATGTACATCTAGTTCTATCCACGGGCAGTAGGGCATAATGCAAATGAATATGAACAATTAGGAATTATTGACTTTCATTGTTATTTAAGGTCGCATCAACTACTAGGTCATTAGCGACCACTATTGCTTGTAACGGCATGGTAACTGTAAGGATGACACGATAATAATGATGATGATGGGGGTGAAAGGACGTACATGATATAACCATGCCTGAGGCGGGACTCGAACCCGCGATCCTTCGGTCCGAGATCGTTTCGGCACTACTCCCTTAGCGATCTCGGCCACCGGATCGGCGAATTATTGAGTTGCACTGTAGTAAACACTGTAAAATAATGCTGAATAATGTTCAGACTCCAGTTTAGTGATACAAGCTTTATCCGTCCAGTTTGCATGCGATGACTTGGAAAAAAGTATGTGTTCATTTGAATGAATCGTATAACATATTTGATAATATGCATTGAGGAATGCACACATGCATTTGGTGACACTGCGTCCTTTCTACAGCAGTCGTAATCGTGTTGGTTTTTTTTATTAACCTTATGACTCATTATAGATATTCTACATAATGATTTGCCATTGTGTTCTGTAGAGATAAAGCACGATTCTAAAGAGAATTCCAAAATGTGTGAATCGAAACGTAAAATAAATGTAACTTCTTGTTTTATCATTGTACAATATTTGAATGCTGTTCCAACATTAGATATGTAATTATAAGCAACAAATATATTAAACCCAATAATTAAAGTTTGCGTCTCCTTAGGCAGTCTTTAAAAGTGATTATAACTCTATGTGCAGTCACTTTTGTATCTATGACAAAGACAGATAAGTGCACGAATAGTTATTCAAATAAACTTTGTAAGTTATTTCTCCAGTAATTATTCGTTTCAATCTTCCAGACGATCTGAACTTTTGAAGTGTGTAAGGTTTTTCAATTCCAAAATTAATTAAATTAATAAAAATATATTATATTTTTTATCCTGAAAAACAGAAATACTGTATGGACTGTATGGGAGAGAACTATAACTATACAGCGAAGTAGCTCAGTTAGTAGCGCGCTGACTTGGCAGATGGGAGGTCTGCATTCGATTTCCGGGCCAGCCATCCTGACCGGGGTTTTTAGTGGTTTCCTGCGGCCATGCAGGCGAGTGCTAGGCTTGTTAACAATTCTCAACATCACCTCTCAACATCGTCTTATAACCTCATAATTCATGACTTAACAACATTGTTTTACCAAGGGATACAGCCGTAAAGCAGATCCCTATAATATCACACGTTAATCTCTCTCCGGAATAGAATATGAGTGGTACCCGAAAGACAACGTGTAACGTGATCGGAAATGGCCGACAAGCCATTTGCTCTTCCTGACAGTATTATTATTATTATTATTATTATTATTATTATTATTATTATTATTATTATTATTATTATTAATTAATAATAATAATAATAATAAGAATAAGAATAAGAATAATACTGTAAGTGCTATTGTTCACGATTTTCTTTTGTGACATTGGTCGTACAGTAATTTAATTACGCTGTTTATTGTGCCAAAGACAAAATCTCACTACTCGGAATTCGACAGCAAATTTGAACGTACAGTCTGTAATTTGATGGTATTCTGTAGACCATTTAAACATGCATGAGAAAGTTCGACGTTTTGATGGCTGTCAGGAAGAACAATAAAAATATATTTTTCTGCTTTTACTTCTTGCTTGTGCTTTGAAATACTGATGCAATGGGTGTAAACCAATCAAAAACATGCAGTGGATGGTTTTGCAATATCAGCAGTACATTTACGTGGTAGAGAAAATATCATAGAAAAACTTAAGAATTTGAAAACGCTGGATTTCTAAGGCTCAGCTCGCTGCTCTTTCAAGCGTTAAAGAGCAAAAGGAAACTTGGAACATTGCGAGTAAAGAATCGCGATCTCTATGCTCAACCTCATTAATACGCTATATTTCTGGACTTGTAACCTGGCTCTGAATGTCTTCTACAAAGTACACTTAGCAACAAAGAGAACAATTTTAATGTTTATATTTCCAAGGAACAGCTTATTTCCATTGGAATTATATGTTTAATTTTCTATTCCCCTGAGTTCGTTATCAAACAATTTTTAAGCTTCAAAACAGTTTTTATCCAAACTTGTAAGAGATTTACCTTAAATCGGATACCGGATAACCCCTATGTAAGATATACGTTAGGGGAAAAAGAGAAATTTATCTGAAAATTTTTCTCCGGAATTGGATAATGTGATTATAAGGATTTCTAACACTTTTTTAAAGATGGCTCTACTTAAAAGTAAATGTGGTATTTCGTGTGTGTATTGATAGTATACGGTTTGTTATACATTAGTGTTATATATACTATAACTTTTATACAGACAATTCGTTTTTCATAAAATCTAAATATACAAAATTTGCACAAAGATCTGTAGTCGAATTTTGAATGAATTGAAGCTAAATGCAGTATTCTAAATAGATACGATGACTTCGTTTTAAAGAGTATGGACAATACTACATAGAATTCTTGGGACTGAATTCCTTTGAGAAGCTGGCTTGCAATTGGTGTTATGTAGGATAGTTAAAGGGATAGCACCATTTCATTGATCACATTTGATTTTCTGACTCTTGTTTCCTATTTGCATCTATCCGCTTTGCATCATCCACTTAATCTCTCTTCCTTCAATTCATTCATTATTGTAATTTGCTCTTGAACTATACATTTTTTCATTTTGACTTTCTTCATTAACTAATTTACACGGTTGAACCCTCCCTTGACAATGTGGTCATTTCTTATTTCTATTCACACTTTCGAAACAAAAATCGTATGTATACAGACAAGCAATTCAAATACGCCATGGGATTATTTCAGAATGTAAAGAACCATACCTTTTTCTTAAAGTTCTTATAACCACCATTACACTAACTATATTAAACAACTAATGCATTAACTAAATAAATTACTCGCATTCAAACTGCAATCAATAGATTCCCTGAAAACCTATAAAATAATTTTATATTCTATAAACAATGAGTTCATAATTGAATGTATATAGTGCAGCTGGGCGGTGCATGCTAACGCTTGAGGCCTATTGAGCCGCTA